GCTGCATCTTGCCGTGTTCGACATGTTTCAGGTACGGTATTGGTTCGGCATTGGCGTGGTACACGCCACAGCATCATTTCAGACTTGGTACTGGATCGGTATCGACACGGCGCGAGGCACGGGAACCCCGGATGGTTATATTAGGTTCGRCTTCGGTWTGGTAAGAAWTACAGCGAGCCTGACTGAGCGATCCGGGTTTGACATTGACGGGTTCGGATTGCTGAGATATAACGTCGAGACAAGTTCTAGTTGGCTAGTTCAAGGTTCGGAATTGGTATGGTGACGCCGCACCTTGTTCCATGGGACACCGCAACGGGGTACCACTATTTTCGTGTGTGTACTAGCCTGGGACACTTACGCGCGCTGATCCAGCGATCGGTCGGAGATTGCCACATTTGCTCCGGTTCTATGGGACTTGGTACCGTCAAACTGCCGGTATACGGGTAGTGTGGCCAGCGGCAGACAGAAGTGTTAACCTTTAGTCATATGCAGACTAAGGAGGGGGTTGGCTGCAAAGCTTTTTTTTTTTTTTTTTTTTTTTTTTTTTTGGTGGGATTGGGCTTACCTTGCCTGGCTCAAGGGACTACTTCTGCTACCCGAAGATCACTGGTACTGCAGGGTCTGAAGGGCCACGCGGTTTCACAAGGTACAGTGCGGAAACTGGCAGTACAGGTGGATCCGCATGGGGGCCCCTGCCCCGACGCCGTGGCCACTACGGGCCTAAGTGCTTAGTCACTCAGATATCACTGACCCGCTAAAGCCCGTGGCAAGGAGGGAGATGTAGGGGACTATCACGGCTCGGAACCATTGCGAAACTCGTCGGAGCTGTCTACGCCAGTGGGCTGGAGCTGGTGCCTGGGTACTGTGGACGCCGAGCCTGTGAGACCAGTACCACTGTTTTCTTTTTTCTCCGTGGCGCAGCGGACTATTTCCTGCACACTTGCACTCCAAGAAGGCCCTGGTCGGTCAGACCATGGGATTGAAGGGGATATAGGGGAGAACAGTGAAGGGAATGGGATTGCATGCCAGGTGTGCCCGGCGTCAAGCAGTTGCAGAGTGGGAGACGAGCTCGAGGCGGAGACGCGTCGGCGCTCAGGCGGTTACTTGCGTGTGAGAGGGAGAGTGAGAGAGAAGGGGACTGCACAGCGGGAGTGAGAGACTGCGTGTGAGAGGGAGAGTGAGAGAGAAGGGGACTGCACAGCGGGAGCGAGAGACTGCGTGTGAGAGGGAGAGTGAGAGAGAAGGGGACTGCACAGCGGGAGCGAGAGACTGCGTGTGAGAGGGAGAGTGAGAGAAAAGGGGACTGCACAGCTGGAGCGAGTGACCGAGGCGAGCGTTGTTGTAGTTTGTGTGATCGTCTCAAGTAATGTCAGCCCTCGTATGTGACGTCAACAGCAAGAATGACCAAGGCAATGGTTGCCTGCTGGAACCCCTTGGTGACGTTGTCTGAACTAGAGTTAATGTCCATGTGCAATCTGTTGGAAGAAAGAGAAGAGAGGGAGGTAAGATAGTCAGAGAGAGACAAAGAGGGTTGTGTTTCTTGATTATGAAATTAATTAGCCTGGCCGCAAATGCTACCAGGTTCGTTCATACCTGAGCTAGCCAGTTCGCCGCCATCACTGGATGTAGCAGGGGGGGGATGCTCGAACTCTAACAACGCGCAGTGCTGAGCAGACACATTATGAGTATTTATCCTTCAATGTTCTCGCTGAAGATTCAACCATCACGATTATCAGATAAAAAAAAATAATAATAATAATAATAATAAAATAAATATATACATTTATATATGCGGTGATGTATCTTTTGATGTTGATGTTCTGGTTGAAGCAACAGTTTTCATTCCCCTCATCTGG